CTTTTCTTTTCTTTTCTTTTCTTTTCTTTTCTTTTCTTTTCTTTTCTTTTCTTTTCTTTTCTTTTCTTTTCTTTTCTTTTCTTTTCTTTTGTTTTGTTTTGTTTTCTTTTCTTTTGTTTTCTTTTCTTTTCTTTTCTCACGGGCTCCAGCGACGCGGGGCTGACGGAGGCAGCTCCGGCCGAGGAGCGGAGCAGAAACCGGCCCCGTCTGCCGCCCCGTCCTGTGCGCTGGATGGAGGGATATTGCAGCTCCGTCACCCCTGCCTTCGATCCGCGGTCGTGCCCTCCCGGCGCTGCGGTCTGCAAGGAATGCGAAGGGTTGTTAATGACGTGCAGTGATCACACACCGAGTTAAAGCCTCTCGCTAAGGGAAATTCGAGGGAAAAGCAGCCAGCTTTTCAATATTTTGCAGAAACGCTTTGTGTCTCTTTTCATTTGCAGCCAGACAGTTGCAAATTGCATAAAATTGCTCCTGAAGAAGGGGGAGAAGAATAGAGGGAGGGAACAGAGGGAAAGCTTTTTTTTTTTTTTTTTTTTAAGTGATTTTTCTGGCAAGATACAGTTCCAGTTTTATTTCTATGCAGAACAAAGGAGGGCTTACTGAAAGGCAGGTAGGTAAGTGGCAGAAATTGGTATTGATCCAAGCTGGGAATACGGGCAGTTTAAGAGCAGCAGTGGGGCACTGAAATGCGGCTACCTCGGGGAGAACTCCTGGATGGAGCAAGGGCTTGGGAACACGGGCACACGGGAGTGGAAAATTACAGAGAGGCTCTGGGAATGCAGCAGGGCTGGAGGTGCAGCGGCAGTAGCTCAGCGGCTGGGCACGAGGACGAATGCAGGGCATCCCCGTGGGCATCTCCTGCGCTGTGCGAGGGCAGCGCTCCCCGATGGGACACGAGGGGCCGGAGGGGTTCTGAGGGGGGTCCTGCTCCCCGCACTGTGCGTCCCGCCTGTCCTCAAAGGGCAGAGCTTGGCATGGTGTCCACCGGGCTTCCTCAGCCACACGTGCCAACCTGCCAGCCCGAGCAGCCCCTCGTGCTTCCAGAGGCTCCAGCGTGCGCTCCGTGCCGCGCTCCAGGCCATGCTCCATGCACACTCCATGCTGTGCTCTGTGCTGTGCTCCTGGCCCCGCTCCGTGCCGCGCTCCGTGCCACGCACGGCTCCTGGGTGGCTGAGATGATGCTTGGTATTTGGTCCTTTTGGGTCACTTGGAGAACCTCAGCACTCAACAACACGGCCTTGAAGTCAAGAACAGAGATTGCGCTGAGTTCAGCAGGGCCACGTCCTTCTCCTGCAGATCCCTGATGCGGAGAGTGCTACGACCATGGTGTCCCCCACCGTGCATGGTGTCCCCCATCACACATGGTGTCCCTCCCCATGCAGTGTCCCCCACCGTGCATGGTGTCCCCCATCACTCCCGGTGCACCCCTGGGGCCGAGGAGCGCCCGCAGGCGCGGTGCAGCAGTGCAGAGGAGGGTGGGCATGTTGCCTGGCAGGATGTGCTCAGTGTTAATGGCAGGCTCTTCAGAAATGAACAAATAGGTTAATTTTTAATGCTTGGCTAAATAATTTAATGAGGAAAATTAATCTCAGCCAGCGAGGCAGGGAGAGCTGCATAAATCGTTGGTTGGGGTCCTCCACGCCACACGTGCGCGCGTGGGGGCGGTGGGCACGCGGGCTCCGTGGGGACACAGCGTGTGTCCTCAGGCCGTGGCTGCAAGGGGAAGGAACCCATCCCCMGCAYGACCGCAGCATCGTGTCCCCAAGGAGCGTGACCCATGGTGTGTGTCCCCATGGTGTGTGACCATAGCGTGTGTCCCCATGGAGCGTCACCCATAGCGTGTGTCCCCATGGTGTGTGTGACCCACAGCAACCTGTCCCCATGCCGCGTGACCCATGGTGTGTGTCCCCATGGTGTGTGACCATAGCGTGTGTCCCCATGGAGCGGGACCCACGGCATCGTGTCCCCATGCCGTGTGACCCCCCGGCGGGTCTTAGGTGCGGAGGGGACAGATGGGGTCCCCGCCCCTCCCCCGAGACCACATCCAAATGTCTCCTTTGTGCCAAGCGCCGGGAATGCCCCCAAGAGCCGGTTTCCATGGCAACCACAAATGTCAGGTTCCGTGTGGTGCGCGCGGTTGCCATGGCGACGGCGCCTTCCCCCAAGGTGCTGGGAGCTCCGGCAGCCGCCGTGGGGGAGGGGAGCGGGGGAGGGGGGGGCGCTCCCCAATTCCAGAGGGAGCTGGGATGGGCTCCCCACGGGAGCGGGATCCAGCCCYGGATGCGCTCCGTGCCCTCCCGCCTGGCATCGTGCCGCGCTTGCTTCCCGCTGGGAATGAAGCCGTTCCGCGGGGCGGGAATAGCGGGGAGGGAAGGGAAGCGGCCGGGATTCAGCACCCCGACACCGTGCCAGCCATCCCGAAGCAAACGGCATTCCCAGGTCTCCAGCGCGGAGCATYCTCCGAAGCAGCCGCACGGGATTGTCCTGCCCATGGCGCCCGGCTCCCTCCTCCTGCAGAGAACGGCAGCTCTGCTAGCGCGGGCGCCGTTTGGGAAGCACTTCCCGATGGGATGTGCCCATTGGGAAGCGCTTCCCAGCAGGATGTGCCACGGGCGCTGTTTGGGAAGTGCTTCCCAAGAGGATCTGCCTGCAGGAGCCATTTGGGAAGCGCTTCCCGGTGGGATCTGTCTGAGGGCACCGTTTGGGAAGCGCTTCCCGACAAGATGTTCCCATGTGGGAAGTGCTTCCCGGCGGGACGTTCCCGTTTGGGAAGCGCTTCCCGGCAGGACGTTCCCGTTTGGGAAGCGCTTCCCGGCGGGATGTGCCCGTTTGGGAAGCGCTTCCCGGCAGGACGTTCCCGTTTGGGAAGCGCTTCCCGGCGGGATGTGCCGCGGGCCGTGGCTGACCCTCCGCCTTTCTCTCCGTGCAGATGGCGCGCCCGATCCAGGTGAAGCCCGCGGACAGCGAGAGCCGTGGAGGTAGTTGTCATCTCTCCTGGCCCCGGCGGGGCCGCTGGGGTCCCGGGGGGCGCTGGGGCCGTGTTTGGGGTGCAGGGCACACGCTGGGGGCCGGACAGGACCCGGCTGCTGCCCWGTTCCCATTCCCGCCGCGGGTGCCGCAGGCGGAACAGCTGGAAGGCCCTTTCCTCCATCCCACAGCCCTAAATGCAAAACCTTGCCCTTAGGCCTAGCTTTGCAGCTGCTGAGCTCGGCTTGCTGCTTCGTGCAGAGCCCCCCGCCTGCTGCCGGCCCCGCTGCAGCGGGAGGACCCCCTGCACCATCCTGCAGCAAGCCCCTTGCAGCAAAGCTTGCAGCGTGCGAGCGTGTTTCCCGCCGGCGGGCGGCTCCTTTGCCGGGTGCCGCCGCGGCGCGGGCGCCTCGCAGCCGGTTGACGTCCCCGTGTTCCCGCAGGGGACAGGAAGCTCTTCGTGGGCATGTTAAACAAGCAGCAGTCCGAGGAGGACGTGCTGCGGCTCTTCGAACCCTTCGGCGCCATTGACGAGTGCACGGTGCTCCGCGGAGCCGACGGCAGCAGCAAAGGTGTGAACGGCTTCCCCGCGCGTCGGCCCTTGCTCCCTGCTCCCGAGCGCCTGGAAAGCGGCCTCGCTGCTCCCGCCTCGTCCCGGAGCTCCCAGCCCGGCCCACGCTGCGGAGCTGCCGCCCACCCGGCCGTGGGGAGCCTGCTGCAATGGGGGAGTCACCTTCTCCCACTGCGGAATGCGGGAGATGGGACAAGACCTGGGTGACGGGAGCGGGGGTATCTGAGTTGGCAGATCGCTGGTGATTGAGCCGGGCTCAGCCTGGCTCTGGATTGGAAACGTTCTCACCCACAGTTAGGAGCGCACAAAGTGTTTGGGGAAGCGGGTAATGTGAGGAAGATGCAGAGATGGAGCCATCATTCTCTTCACATTGGTGGCCAGTGACAGGACGAGGGGAAATGGGCATAAGCTGAAACCCAGGAGGTTCCATCTCCAGGTGAGGAGGAACTTCTTCCCTGTGAGGGTGCCAGAGCCCTGGACCAGGCTGCCCTGGGAGGCTGGGGAGTCTCCTTCTCTGGAGGTCTCCAAACCCGCCTGGATGCCGCCCTGTGCCACATGCCCTAGGTGTGCCTGCTTGAGCGGGCAGGTTGGACTAGATGATCTGTAGAGGTCCCTTCCAGCCTTGAACATTCGGTGATTCTGTGATCATCAACAGCAGCGCTTCACATCTGCTGAAGCGATGSCCTGAGTGCCTTCCCCGTTCCTTTCCAAGGCTGAGGTGCTGGGATGGGTCCAGCGTTCGGCCCCGCTCCCGCGGGGCGCTCCTTCCCCGTCGCGCCGAGCCGGGCTCTGTCACGCGCGGCGTGGCGGGCGCCCCGTCCCCGCAGCGTCCTCTGCTCTGCGTCCCTTTGCAGGCTGCGCTTTCGTCAAGTTCTCCTCGCACACGGAGGCGCAGGCCGCGATCCACGCGCTGCACGGCAGCCAGACCATGCCCGTGAGTATGGGGGGACCCCCTGCCCGTCCCGTGCCCCCCGGCACGGAATGAACCCACGGCTGCAGCTTCCTGCGGGGCTTGCGGGGGGGATGGTGGCATCTCCCTGCCCTCGGCTTCGGRAACTCTCCTGGGCTGGGCACCGTGTGTCTGTGTCCAGACTGGTAGTAAATTAATAACTGCACTTAATGCTAAAAAAAAAAAAAGAGAGATATCCAAGGACGGGCCCGTGTTTCTCTTATGGTACCTGGAATAGTCCCAAATAAAAACAGTGCAGGGTGCTGGCAACCCAACGTGGTCAGTGAGGACCCCGTGCCCACCCTCTCCCGCCTCGCTGGGGGTTCCCGGGCAGGCCGGGAGCGCGGGGGAATCCATCCATCCTGGATGGATGCATGGATGCACGGATGAATGGATGCATGCATGGATGGATGCATGCATGGATGGATGCACGGATGCATGGATGGATGCACGGATGGATGCACGGGTGGACGCATGGATGGATGGATGCATGGAGAAGGGAACAGCCCAGGTTCCAGGCAACTCCTGAGCACTCCACCAGTCTTCTGCTCCTCTTCCTCCTCCTCTCCACTGCCTGTTCTGCCCCATCCCACCTTGTCTAACCTCTGGGGCCGCCCCATGGCCTCGTGTCCCCCACCTCCTCTCTGTCTCCTCTCTCCGTGCCTAGGGCGCCTCCTCCAGTCTAGTGGTGAAGTTTGCTGACACAGATAAGGAGAGGACCCTCCGGCGCATGCAGCAAATGGTGGGGCAGCTGGGGATATTCACTCCATCTCTCGCGCTGCCGTTCAGCCCGTACGGCGCCTATGCGCAGGCTGTGAGTATCGCGGGGGGCTGTGGGGCAAGGTGCCCGCCTGGCCGCGGGGCGACGCCGGCCCGGCCTGGGCGCCACGCAGAGGGTCGCTGCAGTGAACGCGAGAGGCTTCCCGGCTCCTGCAGGCACCTCGGGCTGCGGGTTATCCACTGGAATAACCTGGGGATGCAGGTTCTCCATTGCAGTCACCCCGGGATGCAGGTTCTCCATTGCAGTCACCCCGGGATGCAGGTTCTCCATTGGAATAACCTGGGGATGCAGGTTCTCCATTGCAGTCACCCCGGGATGCAGGTTCTCCATTGCAGTCACCCTGGGATGCAGGTTATCCATTGGAATAACCCAGGGATGCAGGTTCTCCATTGCAGTCACCCCGGGCTGCGGGTTATCCATTGGAATAACCCGGGGATGCAGGTTCTCCATTGCAGTCACCCTGGGATGCAGGTTCTCCATTGGAATCACCCTGGGCTGCGGGTTATTCATTGGAATCACCCCGGGATGCAGGTTCTCCATTGGAATCACCCTGAGTTTCAGGTTCTCCATAGGAATCACCCCAGGATGCAGGTTCTCCATTGGAATCACCCTGGGCTGCAGGTTCTCCATTGGAATCACCCCGGGCTGCAGGTTCTCCATTGGAATCACCCCGGGCTGCAGGTTCTCCATTGGAATCACCCTGAGTTTCAGGTTCTCCATTGGAATCACCCCGGGCTGCAGGTTCTCCATTGGAATCACCCCAGGCTGCAGGTTCTCCCTTGGCGGCTCTGTCCGCGTGCAGTTCCCTCCTGGAAGGGCTGGCAGGAGGGAGCCGAGACCCGCTCGCCGCGAGGCTGGATGGCTCAGCTGCGACGCAGCCTGGCACAAACGTGTCGCTGCTGTTGCACCCCCGTGGGAACCTGCACCCCCCTTCACACGCTGCTTCCCTCGCCGCCGCCTGCAGCCAGGGCCTGGTCCCGGTGCTGTCCTGGGCTCCTGAGGCTTTATTTTTGGCTAACGTGACCGTRGGGCTTGTCAGGCCCTGGAGAGGGAGCTGCAGGTGCCGGAGGGTTGCAGATGTTGTGGTTATCTGGCTCCTTATCTGCTGGGGCTCTCTGTGCCTTCAAGCTTAGCCAGGGACCTTGGCTGTCTTGGGCTGSTTGTGGTGATTCCCAGTTGTGTTTGAGGCAGATTCCCAGTTCAAGAAGGCCCTGCTTGGTTCTGCTCCAGAAAACACCCCTTTTTGGGTCTCCTCAGTGGCTCTCAGCACCTTTGTGATTTTTTGCTGCTATTAAGCCCACGGAAAAAGGCAATTTCCCAAGGCCTTAAGGGGTACTTGCGTCAAAGGAAGGAGCTGAAAGAAGGTCCTTTCCTGGAGGCTCTGTGTCCGCCGCTGCTGGGAAGGGTCCCCGATGCGATGGGGGRCCCAGGGCGATGGGCTGAGCCGCGACGGCGCCGCGGCCACAAGGGCTGTCCCAGCTCGGGCCTGGGGAGTCGCGGGAGGAGAGCGGCCAGACCTCGCGGCACCCTGCGCGTCAGTGCCCACCTCACACCTGCAGCTCCAGGAACTCACGCAGAGACAGAGAAATAGGGRAAAAGGAAGAATCGGGCCTTAGCTGGGCTGCTTGCTTCCTTCTGCACCTTCCATCCCCTCCGTTGTGTCGCTAGATTTGTCCCCTGCTCTTCAATTTTAGCCTGCTCTTTTTCCCTTCCTGCTCCAGGACTAGTTCGGCTTTCCCTTCCCTTGGGGCTCAGCTCGTCTCCCGCCCTTTCAGTTTCCTTCCTTCTTTCTTATTTACTTTCCCCCCATTTTGCTTCTCTCTCCTTCTTCCTCCCGAGCCCCCAACCCCCCACACCCRTTCTGTCCCCTTTCTTCTCCCATGCTGTGCCCCGAGGAGGGACCCAGGCTAGTTCTTGTGTGCATGAAGTGTCGCCATCAGGGTCAGCGCCAGCCGCCTGCAGCAGCCGCGCGGGGCCGCGCAGGCGGGGGCAGCCGAGAGCCTTTCCCCGCGGACCCTCCTCGCAGCCCTCGTTTCAGCACGAGGACCCACAAGCGGCTCCGGCAGCAGCTTTGCCCCTCCCGAAGCTGTCCCAGCCGCCCCATCCCAGCGGGCGCTCCCAGTGTTTTGCACCAGGGAATTCTCGGGAGATGCCGGCCCCCCGCCGCGCGTCGTGCTCACCAGCCGTGCCCCTGCCTTGCAGCTGATGCAGCAGCAGACAACAGTTCTCTCCACGTCCCACGGCAGCTACGTGAGCCCCGGCGTGGCCCTCGCCCCCTGCCACCTGCAGCAGATCGGGGCCGTGAGTCTCAGCGGGCTGCCGGCCACCGCGCTTGCTCCAGCCTCAGGTGAGGACCTGGCCACCACGAGCCCTTCGTGCCCCGCACTGCTTGCTGCAAT